GGGGGTTTTCGCATGTGCATCGACTACAGGGCACTGAACAGGGTTACCATCAAATCCCGTTACCCCATCCCACGAGCCGACGAACTGATCGACCAACTGCGCACAGCCCGGGTTTTCTCGAAAATCGACCTCCGAGGAGGCTACCACCAAATCCGCGTCAACCCACCCGACTGCCCTAAAACCGCATTCCGAACACGCTACGGATCCTTCGAATACACCGTCATGCCATTCGGACTGACCAACGCCCCCGCCACTTTCCAAATGACCATGAACGAAGCATTCCGCCCACTTTTAGATAAATGCGTCATCGTTTATCTGGACGACATACTGATTTACAGCCCTGACAGAGCACAGCACTTACAAGACATCGAAGCAGTTTTTAAAATCCTGAGTGAGAACCGCCTACTGACCAAAGCATCTAAGTGTGAGTTTTTACAGGACCGCCTGGAGTTTTTGGGACATGTTATTTCAGCTGCAGGAGTGGAAATAGACCCGAAGAAAATTGCGACGATTCAGGCTTGGCACGCGCCGACCAACTTGACCGAGTTGCAGAGTTTCCTGGGGTTCGTCAACTACGTGCGCCGGTTCGTCCCCGACATGGCGAAGCTGACTGCCCCGTTGACCGACCTGCTGAGGAAGGGGGTTGAGTACACGTGGGGGGAGAAAGAGCAAGCTGCCTTCTCGGCCCTCAAAAATATTTTGTGCTCCCCGCCCGTCCTTCACATTGCAGATCCCCACCGTCCGTTCGAGCTCGTCACCGACGCAAGTGACATCGCTGTGGGAGCAGTACTGTTGCAGGACTTCGGGAACGGCCTCCAGCCAATCGCGTACGAGTCCCGCAAACTACACCCGCCCGAACGTAACTACCCGATACACGACCGCGAGATGCTAGCGATCGTGCACGCGTTCAAAGTTTGGCGATGTTACCTGACTGGCGCCGACGTGACAGTACGGAAAGACCACCGCTCGCTACAGTACCTTCGCGCCCAACCGAATCTCAACCCACGACAGATTCGCTGGTTGGACTATCTCGAGTCCAATTTTCACTACACCGTTACGTACAAAAAAGGCGCATCCAACATCGCCGACGCTCTCACCCGCCCCACCGCCCAACTCCACGCCATCCTACTCGCCCAAACCAACCCACTTTTAACTGGCCTATTCACCCACGGATACCGCACCGACCCATTTTTCACGACCGGAAATTCACAGCAACTGGCAGAAGCAAAAGGAGTCTATTACGTAAAAACAGGCACCAACCGCATTTGGGTACTCGCGTACTCACTACTGAGGGAGCTGCTACTGCAGGAGGCACACGACGGGATTACCTCGGGACATTTCGGGGTAGAAAAAACACGACAGCAACTGCAGCGGTACTATTACTGGCCGGAGCTGTTGACCGACGTACAGCAGCACGTGGGCTCGTGTCCTACGTGTCAGGTGATGAAGAGTTCAAGGAAGCGGAAGGCGGGTCAATTGCAGCCGATCCCACCGCCCGAACGCGCCTGGCAGCAAGTAACCATGGACTTCGTCACAGGGTTACCTTCGAACCCTGGGGGTAACGACGTGGTGATGGTCGTCGTGGATAGGCTGACGAAGATGGCACACTTTGCTGCGTGCAAAAAGTCGATCTCAGCCGAGGAGACCGCTCGCCTGTTCATCGCAGCCGTTGTTCGCCTGCACGGGATACCAGCAGCAATTATCAGCGACAGGGACACGAAGTTTACCAGCAACTTCTGGAAGAACCTCTGGGAGCAGTTCGGGACCAGGCTACAGTTCAGTTCGTCGTACCACCCCGAGACCGACGGCCAAACGGAGCGGACGAATCAGACGATGGAGCAGTTAATTCGTGCCACGTGCGACGACCCCACGGCCTGGGAGCAACAGCTGCCGCTGATCGAGTTCGCGTACAACAACGCCACATCAGCCACGACGCAGCAGTCCCCGTTCTACCTGAACTATGGGCAAAACCCCACAGTGCCCATGACGCCGAGTCCGGACAACCCAACGCCACGTGCACAACAATTCGCCGAAGTCCTGCAAGCTGCCCGCGCCAGAGCCGCCGAAGCAATAAAAAAGGCCAACGTCATCGCTAAGCGCAACGCTGATCGCCACCGCCGTCCTGTCACGTACCAATCTGGAGATTACGTGCTGCTTGACACGCAAAATCTGCGACTGCCCGACGTACCAAAATTACGACCGCGCTACTGTGGACCATTCCAAATCAGTCACATGATCACACCCGTCACCGCGCACCTACTGTTGCCAACCGACTGGTACATCAGCCCTTCGTTCCACGTCAGCCTACTTCGCCCATACATCCCGACCACAAGTCAACTGCCGCGTCACCGGCCACAATCAATGACTCGCCCTGCATCAGAGCCGATCATCGAGCCCGAAAAAATTCTGAGCCATCGGATCCGCCACCCCACGGGAATCAGGAGGATTGAATTCCTCGTTCGCTGGAAAGACCGCACGCCAACTGAAGATAGCTGGATGCCCCTGAGCAACATCGAAAATCACCCTGCCCTGCAAGTGTACCTGAGGAGCCGGGGATTCCGCGATATACACGCACTCGCGTAGCGGAGGGGGCTTCTTAAGGGGGGGGGGGTAGTGTAAGGAATTTTCTCGGCATTCCTTACGGAGCCGACTACATCGCGTACAGCAACAGCCGATTGTTCGCCCGTTACTGCTAACGGAACTTCGCCGACTTCGCGCGCACTGTTTTGCCAAACCTCGCACTGCTGGCATGGCCGTATCGGCCTACGCTTCGGGACTAGCCCGAGCCTCGCTCCAGCGTAGCACTAGCAAGCTCGCACGCACCGCGTTACCGTTTTGCATGTTTCGCGTATAAATGTTCGCTCATGCCTTCGCTCACATTTTGTACTCGTTTGACACCTTAGTGCAATTCTCGCTACCTCGATTCATTGCACCCGTAACAATTAGTTATCTGATTCTATCAAATACCTCTCATCCATTGCACTTCAAAGTCTATTTTGTCTATGAGTGCACCTGTTCTCTGGCAAGGTGTGGCAACGAATCGTATGATGTCGCGAAATCTGATGTCTGGTAGCATCCATCTCGAGTTTCAAAATTTGGAAGGGCGCGGATGTTTTCCAATTGCCGTGGCGCGGCTGCGAAGTTGGCGTTTGATGTGTATCATCATCCGTGTGTGTCAGAAAGTGTCATATATTCGGGCCTCCCATCTTGGTTCGGAGAAGCCTCAGGCCTCCGTGCTTAGAACAGCCACTGGGTGCAGGACGTGGTGTTTTCTTTTGAGAGCCTTTTTCCGAAGCTGCAGTCTTGGCACGAGGCGCTGTTTGCCAATTGTCTCGCACCCATGGCAGTGGTGATCGGTCCGGTATGTCTTTGAGTGCTGGCCTGGTGTTTGAAATTCTAGTGGACGTGCGCAACGTGCTCTATGGGTATGGTTTAGTGGCCAACTGGTGGGTGGCCATCTTCATTAGTAGAACAGGGCCAGTTTCAATTGGTCTGTAGTGTGGATTACGTGAGTGGAGGTATGGTAGGGGCTGTTTTGCGAGTATCGTGAGTTATGGCTGGTCGCAAGGAGGCATCTCAAGCACTGCGAAGCGGGGTGATGTAGGTGAGTGCGTCAAGAAACCCCACCGACCGACCGCCACATGTGTTGCTCGTGACTTTGCATGAACGCCGGTCACCACGCAAGCACCCCCGTGCTGAAGCATCACCCTTGGTGATGGCGACACATTGTGAATCGACAAGTCGTGGCGAGGTGAAAATCAGTCGACCAGTTCGAGGAAGTGACAAGAGACGAGAGGGGGGCATGGGAATTGGTGCAGCATCCCAAAACTGACCCATAGAGTTTGCCATTCTTCAAGCCAGTGTTGAGCGACCGCAATAGCAATTAGGTTACCCTGGAAATGATTAAAATTTCGGCTTGTTTTACCCCGCAGCGTCTTTTTCCTTTCCTCTCCCGCTACGTAGCACGCGAGACAGTAGTAACTTAGGCTAGCAGCGCGCTTGGGAAGGCAGCACGCCCGGCCGTAGTCGAGCCACCAGCAGCAGCAGCCCAGCAGGCATGCAAGGCGTTGCACTTTCCGCAAACACAGCACGCGCTCGCCTCCATAGAACAAACCCGATCCGCTTGACACGTCCCGCGGTGCGTCGCCAGGTTAGATAATCCCCGACGCGCTTGACCGCTCGCGCCAACACCGCACCGCATGACGCGCCGCGTCGTCAGCTCCCACGCGCCACCCACCCGTCAAGACCGAACCGCTAGCAGTAGGAGTTAGTAGTAACCAGTGACCATGACTCTGTCAAAAACACTCCAGGAGCGAATCCGGTCCATGGATTCGCTCGCGTCGCCTAGCGAGATGGCGGCGGCTCTGCGCGCGGCCCGCCGGGGGGGCGCCGCAGGGACAGCCCCCAGCGGCGGCAGCAGCAGACCTGGTAGCGGCGGCGTCGATGCGGGGAAACCTGTTAGCAACAGGAACAGCAACAGCACGAACAGCGTCAACATTGCCAGTACCACCAGCAGCAGTGGCAGCAACCGACCCAGCAGCAACGGTTTCGAGGCGTCGCAGAGCGGAATTGAGTCAAGGCATGGTGCTCCGCCGCGCGCCTTGCCTTCGCGCAGCTTCCGATCGCGCGGTGATGCGCCAGGCGTCCGACACGCCATGCGACCTGCCGGGGGGGTGGAACATGGGTACGGAGGAGGAAGACGAGAAAGAGGAAAAGGGGAAGGCGGGGATCGAGGAGGAGGAAGAGAAGGAGGAGAAGAAGGAGGAGGAAGTGGAGAAGGAGGAGGAAGAGAAGCTAGAGAGACTAATTATAGAGATTGTGGTGGGAGGTTACAAGGGGAAGGAATGGGGGAGACGTATGGAACCGAGGCCGGAGAGAGCGGGCGCAGTGCCACATATCGCAGCAGCAGAGCGCGCCGCGGGAGCGGAGGCGGCGGGAGCGGCGGAGGGAGCGGCGGTGGCGGGAACGGCGGGAGCGGAGGTGGGCCGTGCGAGCGGCAGATGAGCATGTCTAGCGGGAGCTCGGAGGTAGAGTCCGTGGGGGTCATGTCGGAACCCGCGCTTCCGCCCATCCGCGACCTGTCCCCCCTCTCGGCTCGGCGCGCGTTGTCCACGTGTTCGTCCTCCGCCTTCCGCACTTACATCACGGCGCGCTTCCAGGACGCGCAGTCGCTGGGGCTCAACAGAGCGCCGCCGCCCGCGGAGCACTTGCTGCCCTCCGCGAGCGACGCCAGCGGAAACGGAGGCGGAGGCGGGGGCGCAGGCGGAACGGCGCAGCTGCTTCCCCGCCTCGTGATGTCCCGCGCGGGTGCGCAAGAGGGGTCGCGGAAGGATGGCGCGCGGAAGCTTTCGCTGGACGTGTACGCGTCTAAGAGACAGGCCGCAGAAGGCGCCGGTGACAGCGCCAATCGCGGCGGCGGTGGCGCCGGCGACGGGGAGGTAGGCGCGATGGGCCTACGAGACGACGAGCTGTCCGCAAAGGCCGGGCGCTTCACGGGGCACATGGCGGCGATTCGGCGCCTGCAGGGCGTGCGCCGCGCCGACCTGGTGGCGGCGCTACTGTCGGATAGCAACTGGCCGGCAGATCTCGCCATGGACGACCGAGTGAAGCTGGATCAATTCGCTGCTCTCTTCCCCTCTCACTCCTACCGCAACTCCCGCTCCTCCCACCCCTCCTCCTCCTCCTCCTCGTCCGCTTCTCTCGCCGCGTCGCTCGTCGCCGGCGTGCCCGTCTTCGCCGTCACCCCCGCTGCGCAATGCGGCGGGAACGGCAGGTGGGATAAGTTTTCCAACGAGTCGTGTCTGCTGAGCTACTACGTGTTCCTGCAGATGCTCTTTCTCGACGTCTTCTGGGCGTCGCTCGCCGCCATCGCCGCCGCCGCCGCCGCCGGGAACGACGCCGCCTTGGGCGACGCCTGGAACGGCGACACGGCTCGCGAACGGCCCGGCACGCCGCGCGGCGATGGCTGGCGCAGCCCCACGGCGGCGCCAGGGACACCGAGAGCCCCCGCCACGCCGCGCTCTCCGCTCTTCCCGCCGGCGAGCCCGCGCTCCTCGCACGACCCGTTCCCGGCGTCGCCCAAGCTCTCGCCTTCCGCCGCTGCTTCCGCCGCCGGCCTCGCTCCCAGCGGCCCGGCGCTGCAGCGCGCTGCGGCGCTTGTCCCGCGCAGTAGCTGCCTGGGCAGCCTGGCGAACGCGGCGCCGGGGGAGGGCGAGCGCAACCGGCGGCAGCAGCTGGCGCGGCGCTGGGTGGCCATGTGTCCGCCGGGGAGCGACGCGGTGGAGGAGGTGGTGGAGATCGTGTCGCGCGTCATCACGCGCCTGCGCGCCGATATCGTCCTGGAGGCTGCTGCGGCCGCCGCCAACGGCGACGACGGCGGCGCCGGCGACGACGCGGGCTGGCGCGGAGGCAACGGGAGCAGCGCGGATGCCCGGGAGACGGAGGCGGTGCGGCAGATTCATAAGCTGGGATGCGAAGACGTGGATCGACTGCTGTGGGGCCTGGAACTGGGTCGCTCGAGCCGCGACGGCCAACTCAAAAGCCATGAAGTGCCCAAAGAGGCTTCCAAGGTCGCTGAGCGTATAGTGAGCGTGCTTATCGAGGGAGCGAATGGCGGCCGGGGTGTGCAGGCAGGCGCGCGGGGGCCGGAGGTGGCAGGCGCTTCCGCCTCCGGTTCCGCCTCCGGTTCCGCCTCCGCCGCTGGTGGCGGCGGGAAGGCAGGGTGCATTGCGCGGAACCCGCCGCAAGGGGATCTCAAGTCTTCGTCGTTCCTAGCGCTCGCCATCGGCGCGGCGGCGGGGGGAGCGGCGGATGCGAAAGACTCGGAGACTACGCGGGAAAGCAACGGCGGAGGTGGTCTGGGCGGGAGCAGAAGCGGGAGGTGGCAGCGCGGTCAGAATGTGGAGCGGGAGCGGGATCGTCGAGATGATCCGTACGGCCGTACGAACGGGAGGTCCGAAGAAGCAGGAGCTGGTAACCAGCCCCGGACCAGTGGCAGTTCAGCCGGTACGGCTGAGATGCAGCGAGGCGGACAGGCTGATGCGTACAGGCGAGATGAGCCGTACGATGGGCGGGATCGAGAAGAGCGGTCGGGGAGGTACGACGGGGGGGGCGGCAGGGGGAAGGGAATGGAGCGCGGCACGTGGGGTGCGGAGGGCGGGCGGAGCGGCAGACTCGGGGAGTCGAGGGGGGACAGGGACGCGGAGGCGCGAAGGTCGGGGGGTGGGCGGGACGATGCGCCAGAGCGGGGGGGCGGAAATGACGATGGTTACCGTTTGGGCGGCGGAAGGGGAGGGGCGGAAGGGATTGGAGAGAGTGCGGAGCGCGGGAGCAGCGGCCGTTTGAGAGAGGCGAAGCGCGAGACGGAGAGAGAGGCACGGAAAGAGGCGGAGCGGGAGGAGCTGCAGCGGCGGCAGCAGCAGTGGCGGAACGGCGACAACCCCGCGGCGCTCAGCGCGGATCCACCCAGGCGCTTCGAGAAGACGCTGTTCGGCGGTGGGAGGGAAGGCGGAGCAGGAGGCGGGGAAGGTGGAGCGGGAGGAGCGGGGGTGTCGCGCCTGCGCTCCCTTTCCCCTCTGCGCTTCACCTCCCCCCATCGTCCCGTTTCTCCCGTGTCCCCGTATCGCGCCTCGAATACGGCTGCGCCTATGTCTCCCTATCGAGCGCCAGAGGCGGCGCTTCCCCCTGCGCCAATGACGCCGCGCTCGCCCGTGGCTGGCGGAGACTCGACCGCGCGGACTGCGGATGGCGGAAGGTCGGGAAGAGAGCAGCGGTGGCAGGAAATGGCGCAGAAGGAGATGAATCAAATCTCGCCGGGAAGGTTCCCGCCAGTATCCCCCCGCGCCGTACCCCCGGGCTCGCCTTACCAGCAACCTTCCGCTGCTTTGCTATCCCCGCGCGCTGCGCCGGTCTCCCCTCGCGCACTTCCCGCCCCCCGCTTCTCCTCCCCGAATGAGCCCGCCTCCCCGCGCGCGCCAATGTCCCCGCTTGCGCCCAACTCCCCTTACATGGTGACGTCCCCGCTTGCCTCCGCCCCCCCGTCCCCGTACGCGCCAATGTCCCCTTATGCTGGCGCTGCGCGCGGAGGAGTTTCCCCCGCATCACCCGTCACTGCACTTGCGCCCAACCTAACTCCGCTCAAGCTACCACCTGGAAGGTCGATGGCCCAGCAGCAGCAGCAGCAGCCGAATAGCCCATTAGCGGCAGAGGCCAAGCCCAGCCCTTGGGAAGCGCGGAAACAGCCTGCATTGACCATGCCTGAACCGCGCACACCCACTGCAGCTGCTGCTTCTGCTGGCGGGTACAGGAGTCCGGCCAATGCGCCGGCTCATGCTTTGTCCCCGTACCAGCGCAGCGTGTCACCGGTCCCGGGGGCAGCAGCAGCAGGAGGAGGAGCCGTGCCGGGGCCCAGCGACAGCAACAAGAGCAGCTCTCTCTACCGGAGCTCGCCCACCCGGCATGAGAGGTTCAAGATGCTCTACCAGAAGCAGCAAAGGCCTGGAGGAGGAGGAGAGAAGCCTGCTGCCAGGCCGTCTCCCAGGTACACTCCATCCCAGGTTCCTCAACCGCCGGAGCAGCACATGCCTGCTCGGCAGGACACCATTCCTCGCTGTGTCACACCCCCTCGAGAAACCCCACCAGCCAAGTTGAACAGCTTCCAGCCGTCTCCACTGCTCCTGCCTACTGCACCGGGGCCCCGTTCACCATCCCCGCAGTATGCATCTCCTGCCGCCCTTTCTGCTGCACTTAAGTCGCCTCAGTCCAGGAGATTCCAGGGGCCATCTGGTCAGGTTCCTGCATCGCCACTCCGCCCACCAGCTCCGAACCTGCCAGACTTTGAACCGCTGGATGCACTGGGCACCCTGCAGGACATGCTGCTTCCGCCGCCTGTGTCACCATATCAGAAGGGACGGCACGCAGACGTCCGCGGCGTTTCTCCTCCTCGGGGTCTCTTGCTGCCCTCGACTCCTCGCAGGCACGCTGAGGAGTTCGGTAATGGAGGAGGAGCGGGTGAAGCGAAGCAGTTGAATGCATACTCTTCACGCAGACCTCCTGCCTCTCCTCTGCAAGGTGCTTCTGGGTGGAACAACACTGACTCCCAACCAGGCAAAGAAACTTTCTGGGATGCAGCAGGCAAGGGTGGGGAAGGCAGCCGGACTGCATCCAAAGTGGAAGCTGACATACATGCGGGAAGGACTTCGCCACTAAGGAGCTCCCGAAGCTGGCGACAGCTTGTCCCGTCCCTTGGGAAGATTCGAGGGGCTTCACCGCGGCGATTGGCTGATCCTGATGAGATCCCGCCCGTTGAGCCAGATGTGAAATTCCTGCAGGTGCAGCAGTGGCTGTGGAGCCAGCCGGATAACCCTGGTGAGGACGAGGACCAATGGAAAGCACAGGAAAGGACAGCTGAGACATCCGAGGCTTCTCAAACTTCACCTGGTGAACAGCCCGAAGTAACCAGCACAAGGGCAGGGGGTGGTCACAGAGGCATGCTTGACCCGGAGGAACGACGCAGGAGGGGAATGGTGGAGGTCTCTCGTCCTCTGTATGATGTTGATGAGCGGGAGAATGAACTTGTTCGTGCATCACCGAGGGTATTAGCTATAAGCACCAGCAAGGTGATGCAGGACAGAGCCAATATTGGGGTATTCAGTCCTGATGTCAGCCCACGAGCTGCAGCAGGGACTGGATGGAAGAAAGTTATAGGTCTAGGTTCTTCAAACAAGAGCCCGGATCGTGCAAGAAAGTCAGGATCTGGTAGACTTGCAACGGTGCAAGACCCTGACAGGGTTGAGAATAAGGCTGAGCAGTACAGACTCTTTCGTTCAGGGTCTCCTCTAAGGGCTATCCTCAGACGTGGTGCGCCTTGACCATATGCTGCTTATATATCATATAATATAGTAAGGCATGTTGCATGCATAATCTGAAATCTACGGTTCCCTTAAAAAAAAAAAAAAACTGCTAACATGCTCCAGAATACAACAAGCCTGCAATGTTACTCAAGGTCCCTGACTTAAGTTTGCAATGCAGCCCAACTAGACCTGTGACATCCCTTTCTGGTGTGTTGGTTGAGTGCAGACGGTCAATAAACTCCTGAATACATGTAATAATCTTGTCTGTGTAGACGCAAAAGAGCAAGAGAGGTGATTTTTCTCTTTGAATCTGCTGCTGGAGGTGATGGAACGATGCAATCCACTCAAGGATCATATCTGTATGGGAGCGAGAATAAAGAGGGTGAGATGAGATTGTGTCCCGAGGTGCAGAAATGGCAGAGGAGGGAGACGTGGGAGGGAGGGGAGCATGACAACACACAAGTGTGTATTCGTGTGTGGGGATGAGCATGCGGATGTGCGCTTGTGCATGTGAGGATGAGATGTGAAGGCTTCGGGACGGAGACCACGATAAAGTGTGGGAGGGAGATGTGTAGAAGGTAGGGTCGGGGGTCGAAGCGTGGGAGGACAAGGCAAAAGCTTACCGTTGTTAAGCTGATTAGCAGAGGTCCAGCTGGGCATATTGCTTGATACAATATTGAAGACAAGTGACAGCCTGTGAAACACAATATATTGTCTCATTGTACACTTCGTTTTTTAAAAGTTATGTATGCACCCTGCGAAACTTACAGTGTCCCACATCTTTCAGCCGCAATAGCCTTCGCTGTGGTCCAAGTGCCAGAGTGCACCAAACTGAACTCTTTCTGTATTTCATCAGTTAGCATGGGCAGCAGTAGGTGCCCTATGAAAGGCTCTTCAGCAAGCTCTAAAATGACGCCTTCAATTTCTTCACAACATGACCAGTTGGTCGTCTCTGAAATGCCATTTAGTATGCAATAAGCAGTAGAGCTTCAGTTTAAACTAGAAGCGTACAAACAGAGACATTTACCAACCTTTTGATGGTTCCAGCAACATCCCCAGCACAGAAGTAAGGAACTCAGTGACAGGCCCACAAAGTTCACTGGCATTGCCTTCGTGTTGAAGAACTCCTGTACGGACCATCATTATCAGAACCGCAAGGATGCGAAATCCTGGAAATAACAAGAGAATAACAAAATCCTCACCTCTTACGAACGAAATGGCTTCAGTTATGTACGTTCGTTTTCGGCTGTCCATCTTGCATTTGAAAAGCATCAGCGTTAGCCCAGGTCTTAGTTGCTTTGCCCCTAACAAAGCACCACAATGTGGTATGCTGGATTGGCGTACCTGAACTGGAGAATCGGCAATTAGGTCTGCAGCAAATCTCATAACGTGCGTAATCCATCCTCGGTCATCAGTCACACTGGGCCAGATGGAAGTTGCTCCTGCAGCCTCAACAAGGTTATTCTGTGATAGCAACAGCAGATTCGCACCAGACAAGAGCACCCTTTTAGAATTCTCACCTTTGCCCGGATCCTTCAGTCTCCTTATGTTTGACACAAGTTGAACTGCATAACAAGCCTTTTCAGCGAATTCACGGAAATTTTGACATTGGATAAAATATAATTACGTAATACGGTCTCACCGTGCTTTAAAAGGACCACTCTTGGATGGTCGGTAATTATCAGTTCCCCTTGTTCTTTCGCGTGCTCAGTCACATCAAGCAACCCCCTTTGCCTTTTTGACACTGAGTTCTGGAGCTCTGGCGATAACCTTTGCAGGATAGAGGGGCCTGTGTGCGTGCACTCCTTCAGGACGAGCTTGGAGTAAAAGGCACTTGTGGGATATTTTACTTACAGTCACCGAGATCTCCCAGAACCTGGTTGTACTGCTGCAGCGTGCACTCAAGTTCTTCAATCTGCGATACGCGATGTTAGCGACTGCCTTTTGCCATGATTATGCTTTCTGGGACTGAAAACTAACCTTGCGCTTCAGATTTCCCACTTGAAATGAGTTTGTCTCTGATTGCCTAGCCTTGACGACGGCGAGGGCCAAGGCAAGCCTAATGTCACTGTTCACTGATGCCATTGTGCTGGGCGACACAGCATACACTGCAGAATTTGAGCCATGTGCTCAACAATGACACTCTGCTCAACAACAGAGGTAGATCAACCCTGGGAAGGACCTTGAAGTTGGGCGAGAGTTCACAATCAGGCCTGTCGATGTTCCTGGGGCCCATACTTGGAGCCCCCAGCCCCTCCCTATCTGACCCTGTATTGGCCGTACCTGAGTGTTTTGGCGCCCTTAACGGTCACGGGCGCAGGCCGAAGTGGAAACTTGATATCCGGGCTTGCACCACACTCTCTTAGCTAAGGGAAAGTTCGGCTGCTCCAAAGCTGACTTAGCGAGATCACAAACACGGGATTGGCTAGAAAACGCTAAGGGAAAAATCCCTTTGGCGCGCTCTCGTGCAACCATGGAGAAAGGGGGGGGGGGGGTGGAGTGGGGGGGTCAGGCAGAATTTCTCGGGGGGGGGTCCCTAGAACCTGAAATCAAAACTTTGTGGGTGGGGAAGGCCTGTTTGGAGCACTTAACGCATCCGGGGAAGGGTCGAACGAAGCACTTAGTGGCACGGTCAAAAGCGATCCTAACACTTAATGCAGTCGAGCTGGAGCGAAAGTAACCCGGAAGTTCAGGGAATTAAGGGCATATGCCCGTCAATCGGCAGGCTTGTTCACAATCGTTCGACCTCTGACAAACGCGTATGTTCCCCAGATTCAAATCTCTAAACGAGTACATTTCTTCACCTTGTTGGAGAGTTCGACAGATTCGTTGTCTACAGTGATTTTCTTGTAACTGGCAGTACAGTTCCAAAACACACTTTCCTCATCAAGAGCCATTTTTGGGTTGCGTAGCAACCCTATACATTTGGTACACCCTGTTTCTCGCAACACTGAACTGCGTATGAACGGCCATCTACCCTTGAATCATCTGTGACTGTCACACTACCGCAACGCCAGCGAAACTTCAATGCATGCTTAATTCATTAAGTGGATTCTGAACAAAACCAGAACGGTACAAAGGACTCCCGACACCATCGCGACAACCAGAAATTCCACCCCGTTTCATTCACATCCCCCCAAGACTGGCTCACTCACTCAAGCACAAGAAACACACATGACAGAGGGAAAACCAAGCTAGATCAAGCACAAACCCACTCGACAGCTAACAAGCTACAACCACACAAATAATAACCAAGACACCGACACAAAGCAAGGAACCCATTGCTGCAGATTTCTGTCACATCAACCATCAACCCTTCCCAAAAAACAACAGACCCAGGGACACCCACTAGACTTCAGAACACGTGAGAATTTCTATAGCTAGCCATTCGCAATAGCTCGCTTCCATATGCAATGGAGTCAGATTCTTCATCGCTCCGCACATCCTCCGTTGGCTGTGTGTTTAGATCGAAGAATGCAGGGCTGGCACGCTCGAGTCTATCGATGATGTCAGAATGTGTTATTTGTCTAGTCTGCAGTGGGGCACTCTATAGTGAGTACAACCCAACTAGGGTTTGCTATATGTATCCATTGCTTGCTAGTGAAAACCCTCTTTCGTGTTCTTACTTTCTGTGTGCTATCTTAACATGCTATCAGAGCGAGATCACTCCTGGCCTGTGGCCCCACTTGTCAGAATCCAAACCACTAGACCATTGCAATAAAAAGGGCTTGTTTGTGTAGCAGGTAAGAGCGCCCATAACCCCCCAGGCCAACGTGCCTGTAACCCTTCCCTAGGATCAATCGGGGATCACCAGTGGACCTCTGACACCACTTGCTTCCGCTGCTGTCCTACCTGTCGCGCGCCTCGGGCGCGCGTCGTCTTCTGCCTGCCGTGCGCCCTGCGTGCGTGGCGTTTTTCTTCCCGCCGCGCGCTCGGGGCGCACGGCGGTTTTCTGTCCGCCACGCGCCCTGCCCGCCGTGTGCCCCGGGCGCGCGCGGCGGTTTCGTCGCCCGACGCGGCGCCCCGGGGCCCGCGCGCTGTCCCCTCCCGTCGCCTGCCGCGGCGTCCTGGGGGCCCGCGCGCCGCCCCCCTCCCGTCGCCCGTCGAAGCGCCCCAGGGGCCCGCGGGCCGCCCTGCCCGTCGCCCGCCGCGGCGCCCTCGGGGGCCCGCGCGTCGCCCTCCCTCCCGTTGCCCGTCGAAGCGCCCCGGGGGCCTGCCCGCCGCCCTGCCCGTCGCCCGTCGTAGCGCCCCAGGGACTCGCGCGCCGCCCCGCTTCTGCTCGCACGCCGCCCCAGCTGCTGCCTGCGTTTGGGGTACGGGGGTGGCGGGTATGGGGGTGGCGGGTGTGTGCACCTTCCCCTGCTCCTCCTCCTCCTCCGTCTCCCACTACTGCAGCTGCCGCTGAGGGGGGTGGGTGTGTGGGAGCCGAGGGAGTGGCGCTAGGGGGGTGTCGTGGGAGTCGAGCTAGGGGTGCAGCAAGGGGTGTGTGAAAGGGGTATGGGACATTTGGGGGAGGTTGAACGGAGGTAACCGTCGTGACGTCAACATCGCTAGTAGTCCGGGGGTCACCCTTGCTCTGGTAGCCCAGCGAGCCTGCTGACGTCGGTCGCCCGTGGGTCCGTTGCTCCTGCCGCTCGTCTTAGCCACGGAGCCAGTTACTCCAGTAGTACGGATGCCATTGCTTGTGTCCGGTAGCCACTGTGCGCGCCGCTCCTGTTGCCCGTGTGTCTACGGCTTCATCCGTCGCCTCCTACCTCCATTCCTCTCACAGTCCCTCCTCCTCCTCACTTGCCCTCTGTGACTGCCTCTAGCTCTGCTTGTGCTTATGAACTTCTTATGCGACTGTTTGCTGTGATGATCATACCCCACTTTGCCTATGGGGGTGTGTCAAAATGTGTTATTTGTCTAGTATGCAGTGGTGTACTCTATTGTGAGTATAGCCCACTAGGGTTTGCTATATGTATCCCATTGCTTGCTAGTGAAAACCCTCTTTCGTGACTTAAGTTTCTGCCTGCTATCTTAACATATGATGATTATGTTTTGAATATCAAGGAGCGTATGAAGGTTACGCGGCGGGATTCCTATTGCATTCGCAAACCCAACCAGCACCCCGGTGGCCTGCCTTGCAATACACCGAGTACCCCGATCCAAAACACCGTCAGCTGACGCCGTAGGGGAAGGAAGATATAAATCTGCATCCTGCGCCCAACACCGACAGTGGAAGTCTCAATTCTGGAACCATAAGTTCGGACGTGGGGTGATTGTTATCAAGGAGCATGAACTCCAATGGGGCCATGCAACGAACACCAAGGCTGAGCTGCCCAATCGCAACAGACATCTCTTGCACTTCGACCTGCAGGGGTTATGAAGGCACAACTCCTATAAACGGGTTCACATGAGTCAGCGTGAGTAACCAAGAGACCGGGAGGCACCCAATCCGCCACCAGCACCTCTGCACCGTGGCAGCATAAATTTTATTCCAACTGCTAGCGACCCATGTGACAGTCACCCTTGCACCATGTTTCAAACGGTGAAGTTCTCGCCGCTGAATTCCAATTTTCCACCATGCCACTAGCTGCCCCACTCGGAGCTTTCTAAACCTCATCTTCAGAGTTGCTATGATGCCTTGATTAAGGGGCTACAAGAACGTTGTTGTATTGGCAGGTAGGTAAATGACGCGTGCCATACTATATGTGTGCTATGATAGAATATGTAGGCTTTAGTGGGGTAGCCAATATGGGGTACATCCCCTTAGGGTTTTCTTTTGTACCCAAACACTCTCGTAATCTACTCATTCCTTGCTACTAGTTCTAACATGGTATTAAGAGCATTAGGTCCTTAGGACCGTTTTTTTTGTTTTCGGGCCCACCACCTACCACTTGCGGTTACCGCGCTACCCCGCGCCCTGCCCTGCCCTAGCCCCACGCTCGCCTCGCTAGCAGCCTGCGCGGCCCGCGCGTCGCTTCTGCTGACCCGCGAGCCGCCCACCAGCAGCCCGCGCGTCGCGCCTGCTGTCCGCGCAGCCCACGCGCAGCTCCTGCCGGACCGCGTGCCGCTCGCTAGCAGCTCGCGTGCTCCGCGCACTGCCTCGTCGGCCGCCTGTAGCCCCGTGCGCCGCCTGCTCCTGCCGCGGTTGCCTGCTCCGCCCCGCGCGCCGCCTGCCCTGCTGCCGCGGCTGCCTGCTGCGCCAACGCATCGCTCGCCCTGCTGCTGCAGCCACCCGCTACGCCCTGCGCGCGGCCTGCCCTGCTGCACTGCCGGCCGCTTGTAGCCCCGTGCGTCACCTGCCCCTGCCGCGGCTGCCTGCTACGCCCTAGCACGCCGCTCCTGCTGCTGCTGCTGCTTGCCTGCAATCGCTCTGCCCTGCTAGTCCCGCGCTGGCAGCTATGGCCACCCTCCGCATTCTGTCGTTCAATGCTGAGGGCTGCCCGATTCAGTTTCTGGCTCGATGACCTGCAGCTGTTCCTAATGAGCGATAGCAAGGACAATGTCTCTCTCTATGACCACACGTCTAGTGCCTCAGTCACTCCTGCTGCCACCGTTAAGCTTAGCGCCCATTCCTAGT